GGGTCGAACTCATTCTGCATGGCTGTGGATAGCTTCATAGGTTGCATCTTAACCCCTTGTGCCACCAGGAAGGCCCCCAACCCCATTTCTGAAGTGACGTTCCTTCGTCCAATGCGTACTCTTGGCTCCTTTGTCATATTTGAATATCCATATAAGTGTGGGTTTATTTCTGGACTCTCAATTCTATTCCATTTATCTGTGTGTATTTTTATTCTAGTACCATGCTGTTTTGTTTACTATGACTTTGTAGTATTGTTTAAAGTATGAGAGTGTGGTATGCTACCATTATTTTTTGTCAGGAGTGCTTTGGCTATTACAGGATATTTTGTGGTTCCATACGAATTTCAGTAGTTTTTGTTCTACTTCTTTGAAGAATGACTTTGAAACTATAATAGGAATTACATTGAATTTGTATATTGCTTTGGGTAAGAGGGCCATTTTAACAATGTTAATTCGTCCAATCCATGAGCAGATAATTTGTTTCAATTTCTTTGTGTTTTTTATTTATTTTCACAGTGCCTTATAGTTTTCATTGAGTAACTCCTTCGCATCCTTTGTAAAGTTTCCTCCTAGTTATTTTTTTCTTTTTGATGTAATTGTAAATGGGGTTGCTTTATTGATGTTTTTTCTCTTCATTACTCTTTCCATATAGGAGCACAACTTATTTTTATAAATTGAGGTTGTTACCTGTCACTTTACTGGTTTATTATTTCAATTTTTTACTGGCATCCTTACAGTTTTCTATGCGTATATTATTATTATTAATATTATTATATTTCTATGTGTATTATTATTTGTACATAATGATAGTTTTACTTCTTTCCCAATTTGGATTCCTTTTATATTTTTCTCATGCCTACTTGCTCTAGCTAGTATTTCTATTATTATGTCCAGTAGTTGTGTGAAAGTGGACATCTTTGTCTTGTGCCAGAACTTAGAGGAAATACTTTTGCCACTGTGTATCATGTTAGCTCTGGGAATGTGGCATGTATTATGTTAAGCTATGTTTTATCTATTCCCATTTTTTAAGGGTTTTTGTGATAAATCATTCTTGAATCAAATGCTTTCTCATCAGATGCTTTCTCTGTATTTATTGATATGATTATAGTCATTATCTTTCCTTTTGTGGATATGATGAATTATATTAATAGACTTTCAGATTTTTGAACCATTCTTCCATCCCTGGAATAAACTTCATTTGGTTAGAATGTATGGATTTGATTTGCTAAGCTTTTGGTGAGGATTTATTTGTGCATGTGTATGTGTGTGTGTGTGTGTGTGTGTGTGTGTAATCATTATATAATGTCTGTCTCTGTCTCATTACCTTTTTTACCTGGATGTCTATTTTATCTGATGTAGGTGTGGTTTCCCTGACTTCTTTGGCGTCCCATTTGCTTATAGGGTTTTATTCCAAACATTTACTTTGATCTTTTATCTTTGGAGTTCCAAAGTGTCTCCTGGAGACAGCAGAAAGTCAGGTTTTGTTTCCTAATCCAACCAACTATTCTGTGCCTTTTGATTGGTGAGTTCAGTCTATTTACATTTAGTAGAACTATTAATACATGAGGACTGGCTACTCTCATTTTGCCTTTGGTTTTTGGGTTCTATTTCCTTGTTAAGTTTTTTTGTGAATTTTCTCCTCTTCAAATGTTGAACTTCATTTAACATTTCTCATAGGGGAGGTCTAGAACGTTTGCTTCACCTTTTTTTCTGGGAAATACTTTATTTCTCCCTTTTACATGAAGTATGTAGTTAGTATTCTTTGCCAGCAACTTTTATCTGTAAATATTTTGCAAACAATTTTTATCTCTAAGTTTTTCTTACTATTCTCTCTTTAGCCTTAGGGTTTCTTCAAGAAAGTCTGATTTAAGCCTGTGGGAATAGCTTTATATATTACCTGCTTTTTTCCCTAGTAACTTTCAATATCATTTATTTTTCTTGATCTCTTGGTAGTTTCACAAAAACATGTCTTGGTGTAGGTCTCATTAGATTTAGATAACCTATTTTTCTTTTAGCTTCATGGTCATGTTTAATTCTTTCTTAGGTTTGGGAATTTTTCCTCTGATCTTTCTTTCAATAAATTCTCTGCCACTTTTTCTCTCTTCCACTTTTGGGATACTTATCCTTATGTTGCCTTCTTGTTGCAGTCATATATTTCTCAAAGTGTTTGGTCACTTTTTTTTCATACCTCTCCTACACCTGGGTCCTTGTCCTTCATGGTGACTGATTTGATCCTCCATTTGGTCTAGTGTGCTTTTCAGGTGTTTTTATATTAAAATTATATCATGTAATTACTATTTCATGTCATTTATACTTTTTCTTTGGGGGGGGGATTCTTGGTTGTGTATACCTCTCCTGTTTCTCACAGAATTCTTAGCACCCTCATCCCCCACCCGTGAAATGTTTATAACACACCGTATTTATTGTAATAGCCAAACATGCCTCTATATTTCCACATATCCCCAGAAGGTACATAATTCTCACTTAACTTGAGAATGACATGATACAATACACCACTAGGTATAGTCTTTAAAATAATGCTTATTTTTATACATTTCTAATTTTTAAAGCTAGATTCATTTAATTTGCTTGTTATTTTACCATTTTATTGATGTATAAAGTATACATACTCCAATAATTAAGTTATAAAGAGTCAATTTTTAATTTCCACCTATATATGCACCCATAAAATCACCATCTAGGTTAAATTTTTTGTGTGTGTGTAGGACCCTCACCGGCGGCCGGGGAACGAACCGGCGCTGCAGAGGCTACGGGCAGCCTCGTAGCCCAGCGCTCAACCGCTGCGCCACCAGGGGAGGCCCTAGGTTAAAATTTTTAACGTTTCTAACACCTCACAAATCTCCTTCATGCCCCTTCCAATCAACCTCCTGTCACAGTAACCACTAATTTGACTTCTATCACCATAGATTAATTGTGCCTAGTTTTTAGTCTCCCAGAAAAGTAATCATAGTATGTACTTGTTTGTGTACACCTTTCTCTCCGTGTAATATTTTCTAGAGTCACTCATATTGATGCATGTTTCATTTATTCATTCCCTTTTACTATTAGTTACTCCCTTTTATCACAGTTGTTTTATTCATTTACCAATTAAAGGGTATTTGAGTCATTATTTCTTTCTATAATGAATCATAGGACAGGCATATATTTGCTTAAGTGGATAATGCCAACCTCTTTTCTAAAGTAGTTATATAAATCTATATTCTATCCAAAATTTTCTTCCATCAAAGTGCACTTAAAGGAATTGAAAAAGAAAGCCATAGACTGGTAGAAAATATTCAAAAAAGGGTTACTATACAAAATATAGAAAGAATTCCTATAAATCAATACTACAAAAAAGAATAACCCTATTATTTTTCTAGTGAAGAAAAAACTGAATTGACATTTCACAGGAAGATACCCAAGTGGCAATAAATTCATGGAAAAGTGCTCTGTCAATATCATTACTAAAAATTAAAATCACAATAAGATATTCACACTAATAGTTAAAATTTAAAAGATTGGCAGCATTAAGTATTTGTACATTATTTAAGAAATTGGATTGTAAGGAGACTTAATTATTCTTATCAAGTACTTTTATACCAATCTTGTGAAATAGTATTATTCTATTTCACATTTCAAGACATTTGAATGTCTATTTCAAGACATTTGAGAATGTCTTATTTTCCCAAGTTATTTTTTACCTAATTTAGATGTAAAAGTGAGGTGTAAACTGAGGAAATCTGGCCATGTTATAGGATATAGGACAGGGAGAGGGTCAGCCCAAACCCCGCAAACCTGCCTATTGTAAATGGGTTCTGCCATCCGCCGCATCAACACAAAACATAGGAGACTTTAATGGGAAGGAACTTTAATAAAACTAGGAAACAATACAGGTAAGGCAAAGAGTCTAGTTTCTAAGTGAAGCACCCAAAGTTACCCGTCCCCTCGTGGGTAAAACTCCATCCATATGGGGTCGGCCCAGAGCAAGGCCCCAAAGCCTGCCACAAGTCTAAAACATCTTCCAGTGGGGACCCACAGAAAAGGGTCACAAACAACTGGACAAGCCCGGAAGGAAAAGAGCAAAATCAACATCAAGATAAAAGCTGCCATTGTCACCTCCCCACGGGTCTCACCCACATCTGTGTCACCCAGTCCACGACCAAAAGACAAGCGCAGTTTCTTCACGTGTCTCTAGGCTCCATGCGCCTCCTCCAGGTCTCCTTGCTCCATCCTGCTTCCTTCCTCCTTCTCTTCTGCAGCTTCTCCTCTTCCTGCTCAGCTCCACCCTTCCTTGGGTGGGGCAGGGAACCTGGAACCTCCCCCTTTCCTGGGGACCACCCTGTTACAGCCAGAGAACCTTCTCTTTTTTACCTGTTCCTATTGTTTGGCACAAAGAGAAGAAAGCTTTCAGGTCTGTGTCACTTTGAAAAATTGTTTTGTCTTCTGCAAAATTAGCAAAAGTGTGGTATAAACATGGCAACAAGCTCCCATACCAGGCTAAAAATTTCTGAAATAGTGAGAACACCCAAATTTCTATTCATTTGCAAGATTACTATATGCAGAAATGTCACAAGCAGTCTCATTTACCTTCTCCAAGAGTGTCACATAGAAAAAAATACAACTTAATAACTAACATAGTTAGTCATCAACAGGATCCTGTTATACATCATATTATGGTATAACGGAGTGGAAAGGGCATCCATCAGGTGAATGGGACTTGGTTTTGCTACTTATTTGTTGAGTGAGTATAACCTTGAACAAGGTATTTAATCTCTCAAGTTTTACTTTATTTATAAAACAGCACTACCTATCTCAGACTTATCAAGATTGAGATAAAAAAACTAGATAATTGAGATAATTATCCAGAGAAAACTTTAAGCTGAATTTGTTCCTGGACTTCAAGAGTAGATAACAAGTGTTTTCATCTAAATAGTTACTGTTGTTTTTAATCTTTTCTGTAAACCTTGGAAAATAAATCTTGTTTCTCATTCTGCCTCCAGTTCCATTTGTCCTATACAGATAAGGAGCGTTATGAAAATGAAGAGAGACCTGAAGTTCAGAAGCAGATGCTCATTGATATGGCCAAGAAGCTACCAGTTTACACAAGAACTGGGAATGGAGGTCAGTTCATCCAAAGTCAGCTGGAAGGGCAGATCAGCAAGCATCTCAGAAAGACTAACTCATACATATTTTTAGGCTAGTCCATTTATTTCTCTCTTCTGAAGAACAATGTGGAGTTTCCCCCAACATTTTATTATCAATTTTTTTAAATATACACACAGATGGAAGAATTTCATAATAAATATCTATATCCCCACCACTGGGTTCTACCACTTAACACTTTACTCAGTTGCTTTTTCACATATCTAACCACATATATCCCTCTCTTCATCATCTATCAGGCCATCTTATTTTTTTTTTTTTTGACATATTTCAAAGTAAGTAGCAGATATCAGTATGCATCCACCTATTTATTTTGTCATTCTTTGTGGGCAAAATTTACATACAAAACCACACAAATTGTTATGTATTTCATTCCTTTTATTGCTGAGTATTATATCATTGTGTGAAATATATCAGTTTATTCATTTACCAGTTGAAGCACATTTGGGTTGTTTTCAGTTCTTAGCCATTTGAGTGAATTCACTATGATTATTCTTGTACAAGTATTGGTGCAGAGAGATGTCTTTATTTTCCTTGGGTAAATGTCCACAATGGAGTTTTACTCTTAGTTTTCATCTGTATGATTAGAAGAGTACTAGCTGTTCCTATCATCCTTCTTTTATTTTCTTAATTTTTTTTAAATAGACTGGCTTTTTTTCTTAAAGATTTAGTTATTTATACAAGAACCAGGGTACAGTCAGAGGCACGGGAGGGGTGAGAGGAATCACCAGTGATGGAGTGGGGAGCAAAACAGGTAGATGGACCGAAGACATTGCTGAGGGGAGCAGCGGGCGAGGCAGAAGAGGTCTGCTGTGCCATGTGGGTTTCTCCCTGGCTAGCCAGGGATCGAAGCGCACTGCAGAGGCTGCGGACACCTTCACAGCACGGCGCTCAACTGCCTGTGCCACTGGGAAGGCCCCATCCTTCTTTTAAAATTTGAAAACCAAGGCTCATTTGACAAGTCATCCTAACATTTCTAATAAGGAAGATCCGGTTTCGAGGCTTTTGGAAATATTCTGTTAGACATTTAGACTAACATGTTCATTAATTTATCCAACAAGATTTATTAAGATGCATATGACAATTGGGTTATTTTAATTTGGCCTGGGTATTAGATGGTATTAAGGACTTACTGCTATTTTTGTTAGGGTATTAATATAGTGATGGTCAGGGCTTTTTTTTTTTAAGATTTATTTGTTAGGGTTTTTTTTTTTTTAAAGATTTATTTATTTATGCACGCAAGAGCTGGGGTGTAGGCCAGAGGTTCAGGGTAGGGTGAGAGGATTCACCAGAGACAGAGTGGGGAGCAGCAGAATAGGCAGAAATACACTGCTGAGGGGAGTCGCCGGCAAGACAGGAGAGGTCTGCAGCGCCATGTGGGTCACCTCCCTGGCTGGGGATCAAACTAGTGCTGCAGTGGCTGCGGATAGCTTCATAGTGCTAAGACTTAACCCCTTGCGCAACCAGGGAGGCTCATGTAGTTAGGACTTATAACAAAACCATTCAGATAGGCTAATAAGATAGATGTTACCATATTAAGCTCTAACTGGTACTAACCATCCTATTTTCCCTATAGCTGTACGATTCTGTGACCGATGCCATTTGATCAAGCCAGATCGCTGCCATCACTGCTCTGTCTGTGCCATGTAAGTGACAGCCATATTTTCCCCGGGTTGAGTTTGACTACTTGATAATTGCCTAGACAACAAATTGACTGACATGTAACATATAACCAGGCCTAGATAAGAGCATTTCCCTTTGATCAAAATGAGCCAAAATATGCCAAAACCCTCACAGGGATGAATTAAACTATTCTAAAAATAGGAAATAAATATATTTATTTTTATTTTTATATTCCCCATACAATTACAACCCCCTGATTTTGACCCCAATCCCTCCTTTCCGCGCCCCCCCCCCCAAAGTGTGTCTCTAGTTCATAGTTGTTTGATTTTGATTTTTTTCTTTCTTATAGTTATTCTTTTTCCTGGTCCCTTATTTAGGTTTTCTAGATTCCTGTTATGAGTGAGACCATCCGGTATTTTTCTTTTTATTTCTGGCTTATTTCGCTGAGCATGATCACTTCCAGCTCCATCCATGTTGCTGCAAATTGCATGTGTTTATCTTTTTTGAAGGCTGAGTAATACTCCATTGTGTATATGTACCACATCTTCTTGATCCAGTCATCTATTTTTGGGCATTTGGGTTGTTTCCAAAGCTTAGCTATTGTAAACAGTGCTGCTATAAACATAGGGGTGCAGGTGCTCTTTGGAATTAATGTTTCTGTGTCCTTTGGGTAAATACCTAGGAGTGGAATTGCTGGATCATATGGAAGCTCTATCTTTAGTAGGTTGAGGAATCTCCACACAGCTCTCCATAGTGGTTGGACCAGTTTGCACTCCCACCAGCAGTGCAGGAGAGTTCCTTTCTCTCCACACCCTCACCAACATTTGTTGTTGCTAGTTTTTTTAATATGTGCCATTCTCACTGGTGTGAGATGGTATCTCATTGTAGTTTTGATTTGCATTTCCCTGATTGCAAGTGATGTTGAACATTTTTTCATATGCCTGCTGGCCATTTGTATTTCCTCTTTGGAGAAGTTTCTTTTTAGCTCTTCTGCCCATTTTTTGACTGGATTAGGAAATAAATATATTTAAAATAAACATTTTAGGACTGTTTTAGATTTATAGAATTACTGTGAAGATAGTTCTTTTATGTCTCACACCCAGTTCCCCTACTATTAAACATTATACATTATTATGTTACTTCTGTTACAATTAATGAACCAATATTGATGCATTATTTTTAACTGAACTTCTTTACTTTTTCCTATGTTCTTTTCTGTTTCAGGATCCCATTCAAGATACCGCAATACATTTAGATGACATGTCTTCTTAGGTTCCTCTCAGTTGTAATAGTTTCTCAAAATGTGCTTTTTTTTATATTCTTAATAGTTTTTAGGATTAATGATCAGGTATTTTGTGGAACGTCCCACAGTTGGGAGTTTTCTGATATTTTTCTTATTATTTTACTTGGATGGGTAATCTGTTTTGAGGAGAAAGACCAGAGAGGTAAAATACCATTCTCACCCTATCAAGGGTACATACTGTAAACATGACTCATCACTGTGATTTTAATCTTGATCATCTGGCTAAGGTAGTATTTGTTCAATGTCTGTCCTGTAACATTACTCTTCCCCACCCCCTCCCTTTCACACTGTACTCTTTGGAAGGACATCACTTTGTACAATTCACACTGAAGAAATGAAGAGTTTTGCACCCCCTCCTTGAGGGCAGTTTTGGGAATTCTGCGTGGGATATTTGTTTCTTTCGCCTCATTTATTTATGTCAGTATAGAGGTTTGGATGTTCACTTTTATCTTTTTTTTTTTCAAATTTGCTCTTATTTCTTTTTTTATTTTTTTAATTTATATATATATATATATATATATATATATATTGTTCATTTTTAAACAATGTTTGCTTCCCGCCCCCAAAGTGTAGTCCCCATAGAGTTTTATTCACCAGTTCACTCAATGCACCATCACTTTTATCTTTTGAGTTATATAAAGTTCAATAACAGTCAGTTTTGTTACTCAAATTGTTCCTGCTTTGTAAAATCCCATTTTTATGTTAATAAACATAGTCTTCATGTCTTTTTTTTCTTGAGTGCTAATTACATCATATTTCTCTTACCCTCCACTCAAACACAGGGTATATCCATATGTTTTCTTCTGTACTTTTTTTAAAAAAGATTTATTTATTTATGCATACAAGAGCTGGGATGTATGCCAGAGGTGCGGGGGGCAGGGGTGAGAGCATTCACCAGAGACAGAGTGGGGACAGAACAGGCAGACGGACTGAAATACACTGCTGAGAGGAGCAGTGGGCGAGACAGGAAAGGTCTGCTGCGCCATGTGGGTATCTCCGTGGCCTGGGTTCAAACTGGCGCCACAGTGGCTGCTGATAGCGTGATAGCACTGTGTCACCAGAGAGGCCCCCCTTCTGTTCTTTTATTAAACTGAATATTTTTTTTAAAGATTTATTTATACAAGAACTGGGGTACAGTCAGAAGTGTGGGAGGGTGACAGGATTCACTAGAGACAGAGCAGGGAGCAGAACAGGCAGAAGGACCAAAATACACTGCTGAGGGGAGCAGTGGGCGAGAGAGGAGAGGTCTGCTGCGCCATGTGGGAATCTCCCTGGCTGGCCAGGAATCGAACCAGTGCTGCAGAGGCTGCGGTGCTCAACCTGCTGTGCCACCGGGGAGATCCTATCAAACTGAATATTAAACAAACTGAGTAGAGATATCTTGGACCTTTTATTCCTATGTATCAATATCATAGGTGAACTTCTAGGCATATAACTTGCTATGAGCAAGTGTTATGATTGGCTCTGTCTAGGAATAACTTGAGGACATATTAGTTTTGGAGTAGCTATCGTGGAACCCTATAGGAATAATTATATTGGCACTATTTAAAAATGCTGGTGAGCTGTTGCATTCACAAATAATAGGTTACTTCTCCATTTTTATGGTCCCACTAACCACACTGTATTTCATTCCTTTTGTAGGTGTGTATTAAAAATGGACCATCACTGCCCTTGGTATGTACCTTTGATTCATTTTTCTCCTCTAAAAGGGTCAAAGTTACTCAGTATGTCTCCCTTCCTAAGTATAGTTGTAACATGCCTGCTTGTGCTACCATAATTCACTGGATTTTATATATGGGGTTGAGCAGCAGGAGAAGTATGCATTTTAAACAAGAATAAATATATTACCAAAGTTATGGTAGTGAAGGTCAGGATCACAAGCTATTGATCTTCTGTCCATTAGCTTCAGTAATGGGGTGTAGTGATGAAATAGAGCACAAATATATAGTTCTCTTTGACATTACAAAATTCAGTTGTTTTTAGCTGTCTTGACATTTGAAATACTCAAGATTGTTAATTCAACATATCTCCATATTTTTATGTCTTATCTAGAGAACCTGTCTGAAACCATCTAACTACAAAGAGAACATGTCACTATACTAAATGTAGCTGCTGAGATTATAGTAGGTTTTCATTGTTCAAAATCCAGTTCTGCTTGGGTGTGTCAGGAACCAGTCCAGAACTATTAGGTAGGCCAGGTGTCTCTGTGTTCAAAATGAAAGGCAAAACAAGTGAAACATGAACTTGTATTTCCAGTCTGCTCATAGCAAGGGACTTCTATTTCTGTTGAATAGCTATGTAACATAAAATGAAGCAGCAAGAATATCAGGCATAAATGCTTAGTTCACTTATGTATCAGCGTATTCTCAATCAAAGGGTCCTGATTTCAAGTTAACTTTTCTTTTTTCTTATAGGGTTAATAACTGCATTGGATTTTCCAACTACAAATTCTTCCTTCAGTTCTTAGCTTATTCTGTTCTCTACTGCCTGTACATTGCTACAACTGTCTTCAGCTATTTCATCAAATACTGGAGAGTAAGTTTTAAAATGCCGAAATGTCTCACCCAGAAAAAACAGATACCTACTCCTATCTGTGACATCATTTTTTTTCTATTTTGAAGTAACTAATATGGAAGTAACCAGCAGAGAAAACACCAAAATCAAGTTTCCATGTTAAATTTTCTGAGGTTTAGGAGGCTGTTGTTTAAAGATTCCATCATATATGAAAATCATGTTCAGGTCTTCAAGAACTTAACCTTGACTCTTCTTTGCAATATAATTCTGTAGCCAATTTAAAAAAAAAACACTTATCACCAATAATAGATTTGAAAAATCTTGAAACTAATTCTAAATCCTTAGTTTCCTAAGGAGGAAATGGACTAAAAAAAACACTCCCTCATTGTTAGGAAATGCTTTCTAATTCCCAGTTCAAAGGAGAGTTGTAACATTCCTGCTGGACAGAAAGATTGATTTATCTTCACATATGACTGAAATGAAATGGGAATCTTACTTGCACTTTGTATGACAAGTACTGGGCTGGAAGTAGGAGAACTGAGTTCTAATACTGGCTTTTTTACCTCCTTCACTGGCTTCATTGCCAGCACCAAATGAAACAGATATTGATAGTACTTTTGCCTTTCAAACTGTGATTCAAGTAATTACAATGAAATTTTTTAAAATCCTACTTTCACTTCTACTTGAAGATATCAATAATATACCGTGTATTTCTAAAAGAGTTGAAGGCAGATTTTCAGCTTGTGTATTTGTAAGGGTCAGGCAACATTATAATGAAATACTGGTGTTTTGTTTTTTTAATTTCGTACCAGTGGACTCCAGTTCCTATCTCTTCTCCACAACTCCTGTACAGTTACTGAAAAATCATGATGAGGGTTGTCCAAACTGAAACTGAAAAGCAAAAGACAGTTGTGGGCAGAGCTACTAGTTATTACTTGAGGAACTGCATAAGAATCTGTGTGCTAGCAATAGCTCACCTCAAGTCACAATGTAAAGTAGCAGAGAAAGAGCATGAATTCTGATATATAGACTATAATAAGTTGGAGAAAAAGGAGAAAGCAAGGTAGTGAGAATCTGAATATCTGAGAATATTTTAATGATTAATTAGTGCATTGATCCCTACTAGTGTAAAAAGTAGTGTAGAAAATTACAGTGATATGTGCTTTCCATTCTCCCTTCAACTTGCTCCATCAATTCAGATATTTAATAACTTTAAGAATAAAGAATTGTATAATGGCTGTCAAAATCTTCAATTCATTCATGAAGTTTTTGTAATAAATTTTCACCAAGTACAAAATGCTTCACTGTAGGGTAAAGAAAATGTCAGGCTTTTCTGCCCTTCCGCCATCAGGATAGATGATGGATCCTTGTCCTGAATGCATGCCTGATGGCGGGCACCTGGAATAGGGTGTGGGCATAGGTAGATGGGATTCAGCTGAGCTAAGACTGTGCTTTTTAAGGGCGGCGTCACGGGGACGCCAGTAGCAGCATTAGAAGCCGAAAAAGAAGCCGAGAAGCAGCAGAACGAACGCTAGAGAGCCTAGATGGAGTGAAGACATGCTGGGGGCTGGGAGGCCTGCCAGCCTCCCGGCCCCCCAGCCAGCACCCCTGCCTGCCATATGCCTGGTGAACCCCAAATAGAAAACCTGCAAAACTACTGAGGACTCTTGACTCCTCCTTGACCCGGTCTGCATGGGATCAGAGGACCTGCACTGCGTCCATTCCTGACCTTACATTCACCATTTTGTCATCACTTCTCCTTGGCCCTTTTCCACAGCACAGGGTCTATTTTCTATTGCGCAGGTTTCCATGACCTGTTTGGTTTTCCATTCACACACTGAACTTCCTGAAGGTAAAGAAAATCTACTGTATCCAATTCATCAGGAAAAATGTCAGCCTTGGTCTTTACTACAGACCTTACTTGGTCCTTGACACAGTAGGCTATTATTTAAGAACCACCTATTACTTTGTAAAGTAATAGTAAAGTGTTGCATTTCACACATTTTGCCATTGCCAATAATCAAACATCACAATGGCAGCCTGGTTCTGTAAGCTCTTTTCACTTTTAAAAGATGATACTTGGTTATGAATTAATCATCAGAAACATGCGAGCATTCACAACAATCTCGGGTGAACATCCTTTTCCTATTTCCTCCTACTTTCTCCACAATAGACTAGTTCATGCCTGACAGATGAGCCATGAGGAAACCTGTCTTGGCTTGCCCACATAATGAAAAGGGCATTAATAATTCAGAGAAATGCTTCCTTGCAGTCCTTCCAAAGAGAACTTTGGCATGATTTAAAGATGCCTTTCTTAGTTTGAATTAAGTCTCCTCTTAAAATGAAAGTAAACACTGCCAGGTGTTTTTAAATCCATGTATCAAGGAGATAAGCTGTGCAGCAACCTCCATTTGTATGATTCTTGACAGTTTCAAAGCACTTTCATATTTATTATCCCCACCACAACCTTGTAAAGTAGGCAAAGCAGAAATTATTGGTATCGTTAAAGGTGATAAAACTGAGACTCAAGTAGTTAAGTGACTTGATTGGGATCACCAGCTTTTAAGCTTCAAAGTCAGGCCTCAAACAGAAAAGTTTGACTCTAAGCCTAAGCCTGTGATCTTAGACATATACCATATTCTACTCCCCTTTATGGTCCTACGATGGGGAAGCTCTGGCTCCTTTGGAATAAATAATTAAGAAGACCATCAGATCATGACTCAGTATTAATTTAAGGAGTAGCTACTTCGATAAGAAATTGATCTTTGCCTTACCAAAAAGATAGTAAGTACACCTCCCATACTGGAACCGTGGCTCTCCTCACAGAGGTTGTGTTTTATTTTAGAAACAAAATAATGGTATTATTCTCTCATTCCTCTGAATTGTTTCTGGTGTCATTGCTTTAAATAATTTAGCTTGATTGTCTCCTGAGAGTAATTTTGAACATCAGGCCATCACTCTTGTAGGGTAAGGAAAAATGTCAGGCTTTTCTGCCCTCCCGCCATCAGGATAGATGATGGATCCTTGCAGTCCTGAATGCATGCCTGATGGCGGACACCTGGAGTAGGGTGAGCCTAGGTAGATGGGATTCACCTGGGCTGAGACTGTGCTTTGAAGGGCGGCGTCACGGGGACGCCAGTAGAAGCCGAAAGAGAAGCTGAGAGAGAAGCAAGAGAAGCAGAAGCAGAGAGAACGCCAGAGAGCCCAGCTAGAGTGAAGATTTGCTGGGGGCTGGGAGGACTGCCAGCCTCCCGGCCCCCCAGCACTCCTGCCTGCCATATGCCTGGGGAACCCCAATAAAAGACCTGCAAAAAGCCACTGAGGACTCTGACTCCTCCTTTACCCGGTCTGCTGGATCAGAAAACCTGCACTGTGTCCATTCCTGGACTTTACAACCCTCTTCTAAGAAAAATAAATATTCAGGACTTTATCGAGAGAAAATAGGGTAGATATGCTTTGACAGAGAGTTCTGTAAGAGTAATTGGTGGGAAGGAGACATCCAGCTCAGCTACCCAGGATGTGAACTGACATTGTATCTTTCCTTTTTGCCCAGTATTTTCTATTGCAAATTTATTTTTGTAACTATGCGAAGAACTTTGTTAACCTTAGGTTTTTTCAGCTTAATTAGTTGCAAAGAATGAATTGTGTATAAGCAAAAACTGAAAAGAGCTGCAGTGTCCAAGGGGCACAGGCATAAAAATATTCTAGATCTAGATTTTATCAGATCCATGAACAAAATTTTACATAAAAAGTTGTCATAATATAAAATAGCAGCTTCCAATAACTTCAAGTTTTATTTTCATCAAAAGTGGGCTTATCCTTGGAAGCCCCATCAAAATTCTCTACAAAATTCGGTACTTCATCATCCTCCTCCTCTCCAGTAGCTAGTGGTGCCTTTCTGTCCACAGATTGTTTGGGCAGAGCTTCAACCAGTCTCTCCTTAAACTAGTCTGCACCAAGCTGGTTTAAGGTGCTGAGTAGCATTTCTGTCAGCTGCTTTATGTCAGCATGGCCTCTAATGGTGAAAGTGTTTGCTGCCAAAGATGCCTGAATTTTAGGTTGTTAAAGGTTGTTAAACCAAGGAACAGTGTTCCTTGGTTTGGGAACATATTTACCTCCTGAATACCAGGGATATTGTTTACCCCAATTTCTTTCGGAGAACTGAAGTTTTTTTATCATCTGCTGTAGGTGTTCTATGAAGCGCCTTCTTTCTCTGAGGGAGTTCCTTTCTCACAAGTGCACACTTGTGCCTGCAGTTTGGCAAGTTTCTACTGGTTCATGATAGTTTCTGTCATCTTGTTGGAGAATAAAAAGGGCTGAGTAGGGGGCTAGGGTTAGCACTCAGAGGGTCTCAGGCAGACCAGCTAGAGCCTATTGCCAATTTAAACATGAAAGATAAGTGAAATAAATGTGAGCTCTATAAACTAAAACGCACACAAAAAAGAGATTATGAAAGTAAAAACCCAGCCAAGCAAACACCACTACAAAAAAAACGGGGCACTTCAGATAAAAGTTCCTGAAGGTTGATATCCTGTGTAGATTCTTCTTGAGGCACTTGCCCCTCAAGCAAATTTCACCCAACCACCCCTCAGCTGAAAGCATCTGACTGGCTTACTTCCCTTTATCTTCATGTTTTAAACATATGCACTCTGAAAATTCCCAATGTTTCCTTATATCAAAATGAATTTAAAATCTCTAAGAGAAGAAAATGATCTGTACTATCTGAATTTGCTTAGTATTTTCAAGCCCTAACTTTCTCCTTCTACCCCAAATAGATAATTTTCCTATTATGAAGGTCCACTTCAGTCAGGTAACATCTTTCATTTTATTACTCAAGAACATTTGGAAATATTTCAAAGCAGTTCATCCCACCAAAACAAAAGTTGTTTTCTCAACTGCTCACTCCAAAATTAAAATGTCTGCTAAAATTCTCTTCAGAAGACAAAATGCCTCATGCTCTGGATGCTAAAGAATTTTAGAAAATTCTTTCTTTTCAAGGGCTGCTTGTAAAAAAAAAAGCTGGTGGGAAAAAACATATACTATAAAAACACTGGCAAGGATATAAAATAATGTACTTCAATAACAACCAAAAAAAGCTGACAAAATATGGAAAATAAGGTATCCTGGCTAATTATAAAAATCTTTAGCCACCTACTTCTCCAAAGGCCTTTGAAATCCTGCTTAATTTTACCATGTAAACACCTGTTTCACAAGATGTAATATACTGGCACATTCTACTCCAATTATCAAACAACTACACAAAACTTTGCAGTAGCTTTAAAATTGGTCATGGTTTATAGGTAGAGCATTTGAAAAGTCTGCCTGTTTTGACTTCCTACATATATTTCAATATACATGCATCCAAGAAAATATGACATGAAGTGTTCTAGGATGGCCTACTTTGAGACAAAAAGGCTGAACCATAGGAGGCTCATTAGTATCACCTGTACCAATAATTCATTTGTAAACTAAATGGAGCACAAATTTAAGATATAGCATGCCATTTATGATCTGAGCATACCCTTTTCACAATACCCTTTTCTAATTGGTATACTATATATTCTATTTTACACTGAACTACACTTAAGGATCCATTATAGGCTTTGTGGACTGAATGCATGTCTATAATGAGGTATACTTATCAACAGAAAGAACTGTTTTATTAAAAATAGATTTTGTGAAAATATATTTTTAAATTACAGCTAGACATTTTATGCATATGAAAAAAGTGCTAACGTATAGATAAAAACTAGA